TGGAGGTCCTCTTGGGGAGCCTTCTGGGGCGTTCATGAGGGTGTTCCGGGGACGTGGAAGAAGGTTTGAGAAAAACCTTAGAGGGGAGCTGGTACAATATGAGGGAAGCCCCTTTGGGACCTCAGTTGTGCGCGCAGGCGCGAGGAGCGCCGTAGGAAATCACCTTGACGAGCCTATGGAACTGAAACTCTTATGGAAGTGGAGAGATCCTCGACTCAAGCTTTTTCCCCATATCCTAAGATGGGGTTCTTGTTATTACTTGGCCGCCTCCTCCTCCTCCTCCTTCTCCTTCTCCTTCTCCTCCCCTCTCCTCCTCATACCCAGACTAACTCATACACAGACTGACTCACACTCAGACTTACTCATACCCAGACTTGATCACACACACACACACACAAAAAAACAGTGCGACCCTACCTAGGAGTTGGAGCCCCTAGGAAAGCAGCATTAGTAGCAACAGAAAAGCTAAGCTAAAGCTAATATAAAGCTAAGTTAAAGCTAAGCTAAAGCTAAGCTAAAGCTAAGTTAAAGCTAAGCTAAGGTTAAGCTAAAGCTAAGCTCAAACTAAGATAAAGCTAAGCTAAAGCTAAGCTAAAGCTAAGCTAAAACTAAGCTAAAACTAAGCTAACGCTAAGCTAGAGCTAAGCTAAAGCTAAGCTAGAGCTAAGCTGAAGCTAAGCTAAAGCTAAGCTGAAGCTAAGCTGAAGCTAAGCTAAAGCTAAGCTGAAGCTAAGCTAGAGCTAAGCTAAAGCTAAGCTGAAGCTAAGCTGACGCTAAGCTAGAGCTAAGCTAAAGCTAAGCTGAAGCTAAGATAAAGCTAAGCTAAAGCTAAGCTAAAGCTAAGCTAAAGCTAAGCTAAAGCTAAGCTAAAGCTAAGCTCGAGCTAAGCTAAAGCTAAGCTAGAGCTAAGCTGAAGCTAAGCTGAAGCTAAGCTAGAGCTGAGCTAGAGCTAAGCTGAAGCTAAGCTGAAGCTAAGCTAAAGCTACGTTAAAGCTAAGCTGAAGCTAAGCTAAAGCTAAGCTAAAGCTGAGCTAAAGCTGAAGCTAAGCTAAAACTAAGCTAAAGCTAAGCTAAAGCTAAGCTGAAGCTAAGCTAAGCTGGGTGAACCCAGGGGGCGCGACTGGGGGAACCGCGGGGCGGGGACTGGGGGAACCGCCCGGGGCGCTTTACACTGCCCGGCCCCTTTAAGCTAAGAGAGTAAGAACCCTTCTAGGCAGAGCCTAGGTAGGGAATTACTCATACTCAGACCTACTCATACTCAGACCTACTCCTACTCAGACTTACTCATGCTGAGACTCACGCACGCCCCGTTCGCGGCCGTTTTGTGGGGATGCCTCAAGCGGTTTGCTTGTTCCCCATATCCTAAGATGGGGTTCTTGTTATTCCCCATATCCTAAGATGGGGTTCTTGCTATTACTTGGACGCCTCCTACTCCTCCTCCTTCCTCTTCTCCTTCTCATCCCCTCTCCTCCTCATACCCAGACTTACTCATACACAGACTGACTCACACTCAGACTTACTCATACCCAGCCTTACTCACACACACAAAATTACTCTTACTCAGACCTACTCATACTCAGACCTACTCCTACTCAGACTTACTCATGCTGAGACTCACGGACGCCCCGTTCGCGGCCGTTCTGTGGGGATGCCTCAAGCGGTTTGCTTGTTTTCTGTCCCAACATTCTTCGCTACCAGACCTGATTGTGAGGATGTCTCAGGCGGGGCGCTGGTTTCAGCTCCCCCTGAGGGGAGCCGCCAGAGTTATCTCACGGTCCCGTTCGCGGCCGTTTTGTGGGGATGTCTCAAGCGGTTTGCATGTGTTCTGTCCCAACATCCTTCGCTTTCGGAGCAGATTTGGAGGATGTCTCGAGCGAGGCGCTCAGTTTCACCCCCCTAAGGGGGGCCGCCTGGGGTTATCTCACGGTCCCGTTCGCGGCCGTTTTGTGGGGATGTCTCAAGCGGTGTGCCTGTTTTCTGTCCCAACATCCTTCGGTTTCGGAGCAGATTTGGAGGATGTCTCGAGCGAGGCGCTCATGTTCACCCCCCGAACGGGAGCCGCCAGGGGTTATCTCACGGTCCCGTTCGCGGCTGTTTTGTGGGGATGTCTCAAGCGGTGTGCCTGGCTTCTGTCCCAACATTCTTCGCTTTCGGGGCAGATTTGGAGGATGTCTCGAGCGAGGCGCTCATTTTCACCCGCCTAAGGGGAGCCGCCAGGGGTTATCTCACGGTCCCGTTCGCTGCCGTTTTGTGGGGATGTCTCAAGCACTTTGCATGATTTCTGTCCCAACATCCTTCGCTTTCGGAGCAGATTTGGAGGATGTCTCGAGCGAGGCGCTCATGTTCACCTCCCTAAGGGGAGCCGCGAGGGTTATCTCACGGTCCCGTTCGCGGCCGTTTTGTGGGGATGTCTCAAGCGGTGTGCCTGGCTTCTGTCCCAACATCCTTCGCTTTCGGAGCAGATTTGGAGGATGTCTCGAGCGAGGCGCTCATTTTCACC